ATTTAATGCTGAAACCTAAATATTCTGAACGCAATTGTATGCCTTCAGCTACAGATAAAATATATTTTGGTCATTTTACTATAAATCTGTATTGTTTGCAATATGTTTTTATACAAAAAAATGTATATGTTTTTATACTTTCATGGGGTTTTGTTTTTGTTTGAGGGTTTACTATTTGCCCATAGCTGAGACCCAAACAGGTGCTGCCACCCCGGCTGAGGGTGGACCTTGAAAAAACAGCAATTAAGAAGAGGATCCACCTCAAATATCAAATCAGTCAATCAGAGACCTTGCTGCCGTATGTAGTTTATCGTCTAACCCAGGACGCGTCATACCTATGACTAGTGGCGATCTGGAAGATGTGATAAGAAACTTTAGACATAAGATGTAAGAGATAATTGGAAAAATAATATTATGTTTGTTATTGCAAGACACAAAATATTCGTTTTTATGAAATAATATTGAGGAATATCTGCTGAGTGCGCCACATACTTAGGAGTAATTTTACTGGTGCAGGAAAATTTGTTGGACTTTCTTACAAAAAGCTTTTCTAAAAATACCAAAACTTTTATGCTGAATTCTATTATGCCATTATAAGATTAAAACACCAATTTTGTTTAAGCGTAAGAACTTGAAATATACTATACAATATGGCTAATAATTTACGAGTGAGACTTAAACATCAAAACGTAATCTAAATTATTTCAAATTTTAAAATAATCCCTCATATTATTATGTTCATCTCATATTCGCTGTTTTTATTCGAGCTTTTGAAATCAAACACACGCACATACTTGAAACTCGGTTGTATTCATAACTCTATCAATACACACACGTGCTTTCTCTCACACACACACACACACACACACACAGATATATATGTAATGTATCTTCTGTTTAAACGGTCTTTAAAAACAGGAAATATATTAAATAATTGTCGGGCATAATCCATTTCATAATATATAATATATATATATATATATATATATATATATATATATATTCAATTAACGAAAATCTTGGTAATCCGTATGGATAATCCCACGGAGGATGAAATCCTGAGAGCTTAATGTTAATTCAGACCTAATAATTTAAATAAAAAACGACCACTTTAAGGCTCCATTGTAATAGTTTATTTCACCAGAGACTTTTAATTTTCCTTGGATCTTCAGACATCACTTTCAAAAGGTGAAGCGAAAAATGAAATTAAAATTTACACTTTTGACGGGCAGTATTAAGCTTATATAAGTTAACATAGAAGGTAGCGAGGAATGGTGTGAGAGACATGATCGAGTTTAGAAAGTGTAGGGAGATTTTTAAAATGTATTTTTATTTTTCTTTGTATTATAATATTAATATTGACGAAAGAGCGGGTAAAGATCAGACATTGACCTATTTAATCGGTCAACTCAACGGAAATGATACGTGGAAAGGGAAGGAGAAAAAAGGGAAAAAGAAAAGGGGAAAGTGAAGAGAATGTTAACTCATGTTAACTTTATACTGCCTTATACTGAAATAAACTATTACAATGGAGCCTTGAAGTGATCCTTTTTTTTTTAATTTATAATATATATATATATATATATATATATATATATATATATATATATATATTTCATTAAAAACACCTGAAAATGTACTGCGGTTAAGTTTTTTTTATTTAAATTTTCTTGTGTCTTTATAATTTTTTTTTTCTAGTCAAAAATTATGTAGAAATTGCCCGAATGCCCTGTATGTACGAGCGCTTTCGGCTATTTGTTTAGCCATTAACTAAATATTTAATAATCATCTAGATATATGCAAAAAAAAAACATACAATCAGATGAAAGTAAAAATAAAAACAATTTTGATAATACCTGAAGATAATACCTAGATTAGCTTCATAACTTACACACACACACACACACACACACACATGTATATATATATATATATATATATATATATATATATATATATATATATATATATATATATATTTAGTTTATTTCATTCAGATTTTTTTTTTGTTTTCGTTTGTGTTCTGTGACTTGTTTTTTTTTTACTGTTTTACAGTGATGTTCGTTCGACACAATTACGAATGGCCACTTGATATAGGCTTACAGAATAAGAGATACAATTTATGGTGATATGTTGGGAAGATAAATTAAACGCTAGAATAAAACACACGTGTTAATTATTCCGTATCTTCTCTTGACCCTTTTTATAAATTATAATATAGAGAAAATATAGTTTGAATATGATCAAATTATTTTTTAGTCTCAGTGTAGATATGAAAAAAATAATTCTAAAGTAGGCTGATTACTATTGTAAGATTAGATATACAATTATTTTTCGCTATTTGCAAATGTCTAAAGTTACTTTTAAAACAATATCGGCTTACTTTGGCTACTACGAGCGAGGATGACAATTTTTCATTGATCAAAGAAGCGATTCCAAAAATAAGTTTGATGTATGTTGATTTGGAGAGACATGGGGAAATGGTTCCTTCTGAGGAATTCCAACCTTCCTTCATGATAAAAAGAAGGTTTAAAATTTAACTCTGGGGAATAAAATTTAACTGATTCCGTGACTTAACGACCAATCAGGCAACGTTGTTTTAGCCAAACTCAAAGCATGTAGATCAATCTGGCAGTCGATGACCCCGAGAACCGAACAGTTCGAATTCAAGTTGGTTTTGTCATATTCACTTACGTACAAATACCCTTGCGATAAATAGGAAACCCTTTATTCCCAGTACAGGTCTGTGTTAAATTGCAGCAAAGAAAAAAAAACATTGTAAATTTCAAAACGTTTTAATTCAATATTTACTAAAAAGAGAAAATTATTCTTACAATCCCAAATATATTTTAGCTTCAAATAACCAATAAAGAAATGATAATACGTAAAAACCTCAAATCGATCAATAAACATTTCAATCCTATAACTACTTAACGATCAGCCTGACGAACCTATTTTAACCGTCTTCTCTATTTGTGACTGTATTGACATGTAAATAAGGTATTGTATAAAAGGCAGTATCGCTATACCAATGGGAGAGTCATCTTCTCTTGACGAGAGTACATTTGACTGAGAGAATACCTATCATAACAATATGACTTCGTCGATCGGTTACTTAACCTCGATGGAGGGTCCGGAATATGTTTCAACCTGGCTTAGCAGTTTTGCTGCGTCGGAGTGAGTAAAATCTTTAAAATACACCAAGGCTAGTGGAGGAGAAATTGAAGTTACGTAATTTGTTTTTGACCTTAGCCTCCAACGTGGTCTATCCCAAAGTGTTGGAAGGTTTAATTTATGAAATAATTGCTGCTGTCATGAAAGCAAATATACAACCAAAAACAAAAAAAGCGATTAGTCATAGCGAAAAGAACTAAATGTCTCGAAAGTAGACAGACACTGGACAAAACTATTACGCAATATGTACAGTGATTGATAGGAGCGAAGAGATATTGTGTGTTTGAAAGAATGGGTTCGAAACAAATGTCTATTAAAGACGAGCTAATTTTGCTAAGAATGATTGAAGGATTATTTGACATCTCCTACAAGCGTAAAAGTCTAGATCGGCTTCAATCTCATAATAAAAATCTGGAAGCATTTGCACAGTTTGTACAATAATTGGAAATGATTCAAAAATCTAATGCCCCGGAAGGCAGGATGGAGACTAACACTTACTTTTAAGCCACATGAAAAGAGCAAAAATAAGTTCCGGCGTTTGGGAAATCGTGTTTTAAGTGTAAAAAGAGGAATCATTTTCAAACAATATGTCTATATGAAAAGCAATTGGAAAAAGTGGAAAATATAGATTCTCTGATTGAGAGTACAAAATTATTTAAGATAAAGGCACAAGCTAAAAGTTGGGAAACTTTACTTATGCGGGTGGATACTAGAAATGATGTTATTTTGATACCTAGGAATGTTTGGGAAAGAATGGGTAGACCAAAGTTAAAGAAAATCAATCTCCATTTGAAACAGTTCGATGAGTCAACCATTAAAATTTAAGTATGTTTTGAAGGGACGTTTGTGAGAAAAATAGATTCATTATAATACCCATCATCGTGGTGGTAAACATCAAAAGCCACAGTAAAATGCAATTGGGGAAAATGCAATTCGGTGAAAATGGGATTAAACGTATTCTCTCTAGTGGACTGTGATATAGAGACATATTTACCCAGGTTGCTCCTAAGATACAGAGGTATTCGTCCTGCAGGCAGGAGACAAAGCCGGTCTGCATTGATGGGAAGATAAATAAGAGCTCCAATTACCATGTTATTCGCAACGAATGAAAGTGTGAGATACAGAAAGGACAAGGATTCAAATCCTGAAAAGATGAATTTTGTGGTGCAGAAAAGATTTAACACAGCGGTGTTAACAAAGAATGGAGAGGGCATACTGGTTCATGAAGAGCAATTTAGAACCCCAAGAGGGCATGAATTTATGGAAAAGGAGGTGGAAGAGGAAACAGATGACGCAAGTAATAGATGAATGAATCTATTATTGAGAATGATCAGGAAGACAACTAGAGAAAACTGAAAAACAGAAGAGATAATGAGTGTTTCCAGTAGTAGTGAGGAAATAACCTGGCGATGAGAGTGACCAGAGATATCATGATGAATCCAATGAAGAGAATCAATTAAGACCAAGATCTCCTATAATTAGAAATAAAGAGACTCATTCTGAGACGGATGGTGTCTCCAAGGGTAGATCGTAGAAGTCAACTAAAGGTGTAAAATCTCTTTGGTTCAGATAGGTGTAGTGATACGCTGTATAAAAGACAGTATCTCTATACCTACGGGAGGGTTATCTTCTCTTGACGAGACTACATCTGTAAGAAAAAAAAACTGTTGTATACCAATAGGCGGTATGTGGTCCAGTCTGTTGCAAGATGTTTTTAGTAGAATTTACTGTTTTAAACTCATCTGGCGATCTTGTAGTCGAACTCCATCATGTAGCCCAGTCGATCAAATCATTATCGTGTTTCAGAATTTTCTAAATTTAAACCCATGGGGCAAAGCTGCTTTTTTTTCTGTAATCGTCGCATGTCAACCATTCTGGTAAAGCATTTTTTCAGTAGAATGTTCTAATTTTAATCATATTTGGAAAACATGTTGTCCACGAATTCACGACATGTAGCCCATTCTCATCAAACCTTTTTAACAGAATATTCTACTTTTAATCCAGTTCGGCAAAACTCTTGTAGCCAAACGCGTGAGGTTTATCACACCTTAGCAATACCCTATTTAGTAATTTTCTTTTACTTTTAAAATCACTATAGTATAGCTTTTGTAGACTAATTCGGGAAAATGTAGGCTATTCTAGCAGACATCTTTTTGTAATTTTAAACTCAGCTGGCAAATTTGTTGTTACTAAATTCGTAGCATTTCATCCAGTCAACTAATCATTATTTTATAGGTACAGAATTTGCTACATCTGGCAAAACGTTTTAACCGAATTCTGGGTATGTAGCCCAGTCTAAAAAAACTTGATTTTTTTTTTTTTGTTTTGAATTTCCTAATTTTAATCTCATCTGGTAACCTGTTTTAGCCGAAACCGCGGCATGTCGGTCAGTCTGATAAAACCTGTTTTAGCAGAATTTTCTAATTGTAATCCCATTCAAGAAATCCAATGTAGCCGAATTCGCGGGATATAGCCCGGTGTTGAAAAACTTTTTATATTTTTTCTTTGCAGAATTTCCTACATTTAAACCCATCTCGCACACACGTTCTAACCGAATCCACAGCATACCTGCTAGTCAGTAAACCTTTTTTCTTAGATTAATTCGCTACTTGTATCCGATTCGGACAACAGTTTATTAAATCTCTCGTCAGTTTTTTTTTTGTTCTTCAGTAATTCATTTTCTCAGATGTCTTCAAGTGCAAATCAATAACTCTCGACTGCTTTTACTTAAATAATAAAAAAAAAAACTTCTAAGATTTTCTCCATTGATAAGATTCTCATTTTTGCTTTGCATTTCTCTATTTAATTTGGTCCGATAGTATCAAAATTGTAATGACATTAGACCGTCTGTTTGCTAAACCCAGATTTTCCAGGACCTTTCGTTGTTGATTTAAACCAATCTCTCTTTTTTTCCCTTTTTCATTTGCCAGACATTCCAATATCTTTATCCTTTTTTTACATTTGCACACATCTCTCTCGCTTTTCCAGTTTGCGTATCGCCATTACATTCATCGCTTATTTCTTTTACTCTCGTTTAATTTTCCTCACTTTTTGGCATCATATCTTTTCTACTCTATCACCCTCACTCTATCGCTATCTACCTCTCTCTTTTCATTTGATATTGTCTCTTTTTTACCCATATCTCTTTCCCTCTCTCTCTTTTCCTCTGTCTTTTACTTTCAATATATGTTTTCTCCCCATTTTCTCTCTTTTCCTCTCTCTCTCTATCTGTCATTCTTTTTCTCTCTTTCTGCTTAATTGAAATTGTCACTTTTTCCCATCTCTCTCCCATTTCCTCCGTCACTATATGATTTTCTCTTCCACCCAAATTCTTCCTTCCTACATCTTTCTCTCTCTCTCTCTCTCTCTCTTTCTCTCTCACTGATCAGTTGACAATGTCTCTTTACGCTATCTCTCTCTCATTTCTTCCGTCTCTTAATTTTATTCTATATGCTTTTATTATCATTCATTCAATTGCTCTACCTACATCTCTCTACACTTTCACTCTCTCTTTCTCTCTTTCTATCTATCTATCTATCTATATATATATATATATATATATATATATATATATATATATAGAGAGAGAGAGAGAGAGAGAGAGATAATATTAGTGGTAAATATACACATACATATGCAAAATGTACAAATATATATACATAGGTGCATACACATACATATATATTTTTTTAATAAAAATTCAAGAGGATAGGATCCAGGTAGAACTCAATGTCCAGGACAGAGTAAGGATATAATAAAAAGGCTTAAACACTAATATTCCATTGGAATTTGTAGGTCTGATGAATTGGATCGTATTTACGATTCCAATGGAATAAATTATGACCACGGAATATTAGTGTTTAAGCCTTTTATTATTATTATATATATATATATATATATATATATATATATATATATATATATGAAGAAAATATACGCATAAAACAAAAATCCTAATATGCACTTATGCTGTTTTAATGTTAATATAATATCAACGTCGGACGTTTTCGGGTTAATAGACGATCTTCATAATTGCATATTAGGTTTTTGTTTTTTCCGTATATTTTTCTTCATACTGTCGGATCTATATCCATATATTTGCTTACATATATATATATATATATATATATATATATATATATATATATATATATATATAAATAAAAAAAAAAGAACAGCAAGATATATAATCCAGTGTTCTTATACATATTTTTATTTTTACAAAATAGTGCTCAATGTAAATTTACAGAACATTAATATTATAACTTAATTGATTTAAAATATGTTTCTTTTTCGCTACACAGTTCTAACCATGTTTCAAAAATGGAAGCTAAAAGGATCGAATTTAATTTTGTGAATAAATTAAAGAAATTAGTTCCATTCGCTTGAGGATGAAATGGAACTAATGTCTTTAATTTAATCAAAAATTAAATTCGTGGCTTTACCTTCCATTTTTGAAACATGGTTAGAACTGTATATGAAAAACATATTTTAAATCAATTAATTTATATATATATATATATATATATATATATATATATATATATATATATATATATATATATATAGTGAGAGGAAAGCAGAGAGAGAACAAAAAGAGACAATTTAATTGAACAGATATTATATATAATATCTGTTCATTTGAGTAGTCTGTTTTGTCATCTCACTCTTTCTCTCTCTCTCATTCTCTCTCTCTCTCTCTCATTTACTCCGCCTCTTACTTTCATTATTTATATTTTATTTTCTCTCCAACCCATTTTCTCTTTCTTCTTTCACCTCTATCTCTCTCTTAGACCTTTCTCACTCTCTCCCCACATTTGTCTCCCTTCCGACTCTTTCAATTCTTTCATCTCCTCTCCTGATATCTTTCTGTTTTTTTTTTTGTTTTTTTTTCAACATTGCATAACTTAACCACCGAGCCATCTTTATTTTCCTACCTGTTGTTTTGGCCCTCGTCAACTGCTCACTTTATATATTTATATATTTCTAACTTACACCATCTTTATCACTTTTTTCCTCGTCTCTCCTTTCTCACGTTATTCTCTATAATTCTCTCTCTCTCTCTCTCTCTCTTTCTCTCTCTCTCCCCACCATATCTGTTTTCACAAACATTCTCATTTTTTGCAACCTCTTTCACTTCCACCAGCAGTATCTCTCATTGTCTCTCCCTCATCGTTCTAACGACATATTATCACTCTTGGTTCGCCATCTCTCTTTCTAGCATTGCGCACACAATTGTTCTAACTCACTTATCTATATTTCTTTCTTCCCTACCTTTCATTCTTATTTTCTTTCTTTAATTCTTTCTTCCGCCATAACTCTCATTTACTCTTACTGTTTCGCTCTTGGCTATCACTCACACGATTTTATCAGTTGTTCCTTGGTAGTCCTATCTATCTATCTATCTATCTATCTATCTATCTATCTATCTATCTATCTATCTATCTCTCTCTCTCTCTCTTTTATATATATATATATATATATATATATATATATATATATATACACCAGTCAGTTTTATATCTATCTATATAAGTATCAATCTATTTATCAATATATCTCAGTCGCTTTTTATCTCTGTATTTATCTATATCAGTTTGATATCTATCTATCTATCTATCTATCTATCTATCTATCTATCTATCTATCTATCCCAGTCACTTTCATATCTATCTATATAACTATCAATCTAATTATCTATATATTTAAGTCTCTTATATTTCTCTCTGCCTCAGTTTCTTTAATATCTATCTATCTATCTATCTATCTATCTATCTATCTATCTATCTATCTATCTATCTATCTCAGTCCCTTTCAGATCTATCTATCTATCTATCTATCTATCTATCTATCTATCTATCTATCTATCTATCCCAGTCACTTTCATATCTATCTATATAACTATCAATCTAATTATCTATATATTTAAGTCTCTTATATTTCTCTCTGCCTCAGTTTCTTTAATATCTATCTATCTATCTATCTATCTATCTATCTATCTATCTATCTATCTATCTATCTAGCTAGCTAGCTAGCTATCTATCCCAGTCCCTTTCAGATCTATCTATCTATCTATCTATCTATCTATCTATCTATCTATCTATCTATCTATCTATCTATCTATCCCAGTCCCTTTCAGATCTATCTATCTATCTATCTATCTATCTATCTATCTATCTATCTATCTATCTATCCCTCTTTATGTCTTTCATACATTATTTCTTTTGTAATGACCAAAATCAATTAACAGTCACCCCTCAAACCGAACAAGTTCTTGTTTTATATTTTTCTCTTGCTCCAGTTCTGAATCTTTATTTCTTTTCTTTCACACCGTCACTCTGTCTATTTCACTCACCATCGAACAAAATATTTCTTTTTCTTTTTTTTCTTTTTCTCCTGCTCTCTTTTTGTTCATTGCTTTATTTCATTTTCTTTTTTCTCTCCCTCTAGAACAATAGACATTCATTTTCTCTTTATTTTATTCTATTGTGCACTCTTTCTGATTCTTTCATTCACTCACTCTCACACTGACACTCACTCTCTCTAAAGTCCTCGGCACTGAACCTCTTCTTTTTCTCATGTACTCTTAACACTCAGACATTGACCCTTCCCCTCCGACCAACACCACATTCTTCCACCGAGAGTCGCCATTACATCTGCTGCGAAGTCCCACCTGACGTGTTTTTCGTGCCGACAGACGGGTGGGACATGTGCCAGCGCCTATCGATCTAGACAGGTCCATCCAGACAATAATGGTGGCAGATCGATATTTAGTGTTACCTGTGAACATTGGCTGACATTGTACAAGAAGGGCAAAAGAAGACGGGGTGGAAAAGAAATGAAGGCCACAAGAGAAAATCGTGAAAAATATAGGGGATGGGAGTTAACGGAGAATTTGGAGGGGAAAGAGATAGGAACGACGAGAGAACAGAGAGGGGAAATGCTACTTGGCCCATATCTAAAAAAGGCCGAAAATGAAGAAATATTGGTATGCATGTATGGGGGCACAATAACTAATATATATATATATATATATATATATATATATATATATATATATATATATATATATATAAATATATAAATATATATATATATATATATATATATATATATATATATATATATATATATATATATATAACAACATATAAACATATATAAATATAGATATAAATATAAACATATTATTATACATGTATTTGCATATATAAATATATATATATATATATATAGATACACATATATATACATCTTTAAGTAAAATGCATACATACATACACACACATATATATATATATATATACAAACACACACACACATATATATATATATATATATATATATATATATATATATATATATATATATGCATGTATGTAAATATGTATGTCATCATAGTCTTCCCTTGATTTTTATACTCTTAGTGTGGATCGGCGGAATGGAGAAGCCACAATGAATCTACAGTGGGGGGTGTTTGTCTCTGTCTGTGTGCGTCTGTGTATAAATAAATATATCTAGATGAATAAATATATATAATATATATATATATATATATATATATATATATATATATATATATATATATATATATATATCCATGCACAAATAGATATGTATATATATATATATATATATATATATATATTCTATATGTAGAAATATATATGGATGTTTCTCTCTCTTTCTCTGATACAAACACAACAAAGACACCCACAGACGCGCGCACACACACACACACAACCACACACACTGACACTCACAGACGCGCGCGCACACACACACACAAACACACACACACACACACACACACACACACACACACACACACACACACACACATATATATATATATATATATATGAATGAGTGAAATAAATGCGCATTACTGCTTTATCCATATTAAAATTAAATTGTAATAATATTAGCGAATATGCAAATGGTGTGAGATAAAGGGAATTAATATATATATATCTAACAAATTATGCCTACTTACTAATATTACACTAGCCTTGTGTCATTCTAGTTTCCATCTATATATCTCAGTCTCTTTCATCTCTCTCTCTCTCTCTCTCTCTCAATCAGATTGCCGTAATAAAGCATACAAATATCATTTAATATATTAAATTAAACGAATAGGTAAGGTAAACTGAATTAATTTAGATATATTTAACAAGCCAGGTCTTTAAATATATATTGTACTTATATATTTTGATACCTGGCTAAACTGGTAGATGTCAGTCAACTGAGATTATTAAGATAGGCGTTAACACGTACGAGCAGACATCGGTAAATAGAGAAAGATTTAGCGAAAGTGAAAACGTTTTACCCAGATATGATGTGTCTAGACAGACAGACAGATAGATAGATAGATAGATAGAATTAAGCATGTATGAGGTGATATATACCTTTAGGCGTATATACCAGCTAGAATGGCTAGATATACTGTGGAGTAATTGTTATTTCGTGCTCCATTAATACTATGATGCTCGATTCTTAGTATGTTGTGCCAAATAATTCCTATCTTATTAAGAATGAAAGCGCCTTTCTGACTATTTTATTAGATATAATAATATGGTATTTACTTGTATCTATCTACTATTTGTTTCATTCTTTTTATAGATATCAATCATAACACAGAATGGGGCCTATGATTGGGAGCATAGGTAGGGCAATCAGTCAAGATGTAGGATAGTTAGAAATAGAAAGGAAAGGAGAAACGACTACACTATGTTTCCAAATAAATGTCGCAGTAATTCACTTCTTAAAGAAAAGTATGATGTGGGGACCAACGACTTGCTCGTATTTATTTGACTTGCTTTTTTTTTCTTTCTTTCTATTAACGATTGCTCGTATTTATTTATGGCTATCTATCTATCTATCTATCTATCTATCTATCTATCTATCTATCTATCTATTGTCAACGAGTGTTTGTACTTATTTATGGCTATCTATCTATCTATCTATCTATCTATCTATTGTCAACGAGTGTTCGTACTTATTTATGGCTATCTATCTCTCTATCTATCTATCTGCGTCTGCATTTATTTCTTGATGACAATTTTTATCTATCTATCTATCTATCTATCTATCTATCTATCTATCTATCTATCTATCTTTGAGTGGAAACACCCGGGTCTCCCACGTTAATCGACCTTGTGTCACATCTTGATTTTGTGGGAATCAAGTAAATACCATACCATAACCGGCTTGCTAAATTATTCGCTATATAAAATACAGACGGACACTGTGTGTGTTGAACAAACTCAATTAAGCCTGATTGGACGTCTCCAAGAGGGATTGGCTTGTTACGCTAACACACGCGTATGCTCGGAAACCGAGTAACCGGCAATAATCTATGTGGTTTCCCTCTGTCTTTTCTACAAATATTTCCATGACTACTGTTCCCTCAAGCTTTTATCCCCTGTTGCCCTGACTACATATAATTAAGCAGACTACTAGACTGGCATCAAGATCCCACCCTTTTATCGTTGAAATAGTTAAATATAAACACCACTTCTACATCAACAGCTTCTTTTCTCGCACTTCCCGCCTGTGGAATTCCCTTCCGTTTACTTGCTTTCCTGCTAACTCCAATCTTCAGAGATTTAAATGCATCGTCAATCGCCATCATCTGATGTCTTGAATCCCGTTCATCTTTTGTCATTTTCTCATTAACCCTATATTCTGCTTTTCTCTCATATTCAGTTTATGTAAACCTCTGTGAACCAGTGGCACTCCCACTTTGCTTTGGTTGAAATACAGAAAAATCAATCTATCTATCTATCTATCTATCTATCTATCTATCTATCTATCTATCTATCTATGTCTGTTCATATCTATCTATGTCTGTTCATATCTATCTATCTATCTATCTATCTATCTATATATCTATCTATCTGAATAGGTTCATATCTTTTACATTTTCTTCAAATATATCTAATTCTCTTCATATCTGTCTATCTATCTATCTATCTGTCTATCTGAATAGGTTCATATCTTTTAGATTTTCTTCAAATATATCTAATTCTCTTCATATCTATCTATCTATCTATCTATCTATCTATCTATCTATCTATGCCTGCTCGTATTAATTTTTAGCATATTTTCTATTTAACTATTTATCCATCTATCTACGTCTTCTCGTATCTCTTTAAGGTTTTCTTTCTTTCTATCTATCTTTTTTTATCCACCTCAAGCAAGGCAATAATGCCACTAATATGCAAGGATTTACTGGGAGTGGAAGCGAATGAGAGGACTTTACTGAGAAGTAAGTGCAATAAAAGAACAAGATTCAGGATGACAGAAGATGGCGATTGGCTTTGCGTTTAAATCTTTGAATATTTTAGGTGACGATGAGGCAAGAAACCGGAAGCGATTCTCAGACGCGAGAAGTTCGAGAGAAGAAACTAGTAGTACAGAAAATACAGTTACATCAACCCAGTTCAACAGTAAAACGGCAAGACCTAGATGCCAGTTTAGTAGCCCGCATAGATTTATAGACTCGAGACACCAAGGTGCTAAGTTCATCAGAACAATAGCCATGAAAATATACGTAGAAAAGACAGTGGGAAGCCAGGCCGCAGCGTCGGGAAAGTTACTGAGGTCGAGGTGCCAGATCAGGATAATTACACTAATTACACTACAGAGCCTTCCTTGCATTTTTGTAAATAATCACGAGATATATAGTAGGAACAGCTGACCAGTTATGGCAGTGTTATTCAACGCACTGATGATCTATCTATCTATCTATCTATCTATCTATCTATCTATCTATCTATCTATCTATCCATACACATACGTAGGTGCGCACACCCTTGTGAATAAATATTACCTTAATAAGGTTTAATCAAGTATGATTTGAAGATACGGATTATGATTACACACGTGTGTTTTGTACTTTGAATATTCGCAATTAATTAACTGAAATCTGTATTTCCAGACAATATTTCAACAATGGAGCCCCAAATTCATTTTTAGATGTGAATGTGTATGTTTAAATCTAGCGTTTTTTGATATATATATATATATATATATATATATATATATATAATAAAAAAGACAGACGACGTTAAGATTCCATGCAATAAGCTATTTCACCATAACCCTTTAACAGGGTTCTGGATCATCAGACTTTACTTCCAAAGCTTTTGGAAGTAAAGTCTGATGATCCAGAACCCAGTTAAAGGGGTTATGGTAAAATAGCTTATTAGATGGAATCTTAACGTGGTCTGTCTTTTATTCAAACATATCTGCTCTGAATTTTACATTGAGCTCTATGGATATCATCCTCCTCAGGTCTACCCATACGGATTACCTAAGTTTGCATAAACTAACTATATATATATATATATATAATTGCGTATTTGGTCAGCAAATCTCTCTGTTATACAATTCCATTAAATCGATTGATAGGATACTGAAAATAAGTGTATTTATTTATTTTTTCTTGTGTTCTTATAATTTTCTTTTTAGACGTAAATTATGAAAAAAATCGTTCGAATATTCTGTATGAAGAACGTTTTCTTCTATACTTTTAGCCATTATCAAGGATAATTTTATTTTTACTTTCAACGGAATGTATGGATTGTTTTATGTATGTATCTTGAGTTAAATGAATGTTTCATGTTCCAAACATGGTCAGTATATTGTAGCCGTGTTCGTAGTTGATATTGTTGTGTGTTGGCCTTTTCCAATTTAATAATGATATTTCCATTATTTTAAGCCTTTTTTACATGCGGATGAGTCTATTTTATTTGTATTATCGTCGAATATGCTGTGGATAGAGTTTGGTAGGATTCTCTGTCGAATCTAGGCCAAAATAAGAATGTAAATGAGAGGTCTGAAGTGATGTCAGACTGAAAGCACACGAGAAAGTGCATTTTGAGTTTGTATGAACCCAGATCAGAGTACATGTACGATATTCTTCCTCTGCCTCTTCCAGTCCCTCTACTCATGATTTCCCCCTCCCCTTCTATCCTACTTCCTTCTGAGAATGAAAAATAAAAGTTTTATTGTAATATTCCCATTGTTGTATGGTTAAGCACTTTTTAAAGGTCTATTTTTTATCACGCATTTACACATTTGCATAACTTGAGTGTTTATCATCATATTATTAATTTGCATAATCTGTTTTACTTTTGTTATATATACAAAGCAACGGTTGAGCAAATGGTGGCGGAGTTAACAATGCAAGACTTCAAATTAACGTACTCCCTGATAACATCCTGGTTCCTGGTAGAGGGAGACCTGAATACATGCTGATTTATTAAATAAAACAGTTCCTTGCAAGAATGAGATGGAAGGCATTATTTTTCTTGCATAAATAAGCAAGAACTAAAGACGAGATTAAACAAAAAAATCATTTTAAAAACAGGAAATAACCTCCTGTCATTGACGAGTGGGCTGATATTGAAAAAGAAATGATTGACGTAATGGGAAACATCAGGTTCAGGAAAATAAAGAGCACCTTTCAAAAATATTTGGTTTCAGAGGTAAAATAGATAAAGAAAAAAATCTTGATTAAAATGCTAAAAACCTGAAATGTCTATATAATGATAAAAACAAGATAATTCACCAATTTCTATAAGAAAACACGCATGTCATATATTGAAGAAATTTATGGGGAGGCTAAAAATATCACGGCCAAAATAAATATAGGTGACAGGGTCCAGGAACTAGGTGTAAAACTATGTGGGCCATAAAAATAATTTTCTTAATAGTCCTTCGTTGTGACTATATATATATATATATATATATGCCAAATATCTTACATTAATTGCACAACTCTGAGTTTCATGCCGAAACAATTTTCATGCACTTGAATTATTATATTTATTGTTATTTATATTTTGGGTTAACATGAAACTCTGATTAATACAATTAAGTCAAGATATATGTATTTCTTGATATATACATACATATATATATATATATATATATATATATATATATATATATATATATGAAGAAATTTTGAAAAACAAACAAAAAAATCCTTAAATGTAGTTAAAATGAAAGAAATGTCGACGTCTGACGTTTCGGTTTAATAAACCTTTTTCAAGACAATATTCATCAAAAATACAATTCAGTTCAATATGACAAATACGATGGACATAAAAACACAAGTCTTATTCAGAACAGATAACTGAAAATTTTTAAAATGATCAGCCTTCCGTCTAACATGGTCACGCCGTCGTCACATGGGCGACGCTTTCATATATATATATATTAAATAGCTCCGTAACTTTACGCTGAGCACTGCATTTCCTTACACTGTAGACTATTTATATGTATTTCTTTAAGGTCACTCGTTAGCATACCTACCTATATTTACCCATTCGGCTTTATATATATATATATATATATATATATATATATATATATATAGATATAGAGAGAGAGAGAGAGAGAGAGAGAGATAGATAGATAGATAGATAGATAGATAGATAGATAGATAGATAGGCCCCGATATTTGTCAACTTTCTAATCTTCATTCTGATTTTGTCTTCTTAATGTCAGTTAAAACAACGGCGTCCCAGAAGGAATTGTACACAACACAGTGCTGGAATTTATGTGTCAGACAACCGAAGAATTTGGAAATAAAATTCTCTTCCCTGGTTTTTGACATTCATTTATATGAATATGGGATCAATGCAAAATCTCTTGTTTTCAAAAGTCATATCAGCTCATTGCTAAACTACATATATTTTCAAATGCATACGTTGACTGGACCGAGAGATTTTGATATGGATTATTTTTCAATGACGAAATTAATCTTAATTTCGTTATCAGTTTGTGTCAAGTTGGAAAATTTTTTCACAAAAGCTTTTTAAAAAATCAATTAAGTTTGCAGATGTTAGTGTATACGTATCGGAGTGTTCTTTGGCACATATAAGCCCCCTCCAACACAATCGGATATATGACAATACAATGCTACAGTGTACTAATCAACTACTGAAAAAGCCTGCTGTTTCATCGCTGAGTACATCTCCTGACACTAGGATCGTTTTTAAGCAAGATAATTCAATATATTGTCATAAAATCGTAGTACAATCATTCATCAAATCGGAAAGTGTTAAGTTATGGTTTTAAAAATTTCAAAAATTTTACGTTTCACAATCTTCAAAGAACATGTCTTATAATGGCAGAACAAGGATGCCGACAACCGTGAATAATTTTGCACAGAAATTGCTAAAGTTAAAAAAAAAAAGAGAATCTAGCTGAACAACGTGAGAAAATATCTCATCGTATGGTTGTATATTTGAAAAAAATAATAAAAGGTCGTGGCCTGAAAATATCTTATTAGAATTGTGTGTCAATATTAAACCAATATTCTTTTGTTAATTATTATATGTAGCAAACTAGCTGCATATGGAGAGGAAATAGAAAATATACAAAAAAAGGATGCGACTTGTCACTTCATTTCAGCGAGATTTTTCTGAGAAATTAGAAGATCTACCGGGATAAATTATTGGCAGAAACAATCCTAACCACATAAGATATGCAGATGACACAGTGTTAATAGCAGCCATAGAAAATAAACTAAAATGACTCCTAAGAAAGGTAGTGAAAGTAAGCGCGAAGCAAGAACTAAGCATCAATTACAAGAAGACAAAATACATGTTTGTTAGCACAAAAGAACAGCTCAAGATGAAAATTACAGATGGGGGATACAGAAATCAAATAGATATAAAAAAAAAAAAAATCCGATTTCTGAGAAGCGTGTTACCAGAGATCGGAAAGCGTGACACAGAAATACGAAGGCATATTAGAATAGCAAAAGATGCTTTCTAGAAACTGAACAAAATATTAGGGAAAAGGAAAATATAGTTAGAAACAAGGAAAAGAACACTGTAAAGTTATGTTGTAACAGTCCTCCTATATTGCAGTGAATGATGGACACTAACCTCACAGATGATGAAGAGACTTGAAGCAACAGAAATGTCATTCTACAGAAAGAATGCTGAAGATCCCATGAATTAAACAATATGAGCAACGACGAAGTTCTAGAGATAAAGCCAACAAAACGAAGACATGTTTAATATTACGAACAGAGAGATGAAATTTCTGTTACACATATAGAGGAAATATGACTAGGAAGATTTGATACTCACAGGACAGATTGAAGATAAGAAAGACAGAGGAAAGCTACGAAGGCTACCTGTCGAACCTGAATGAAGAGATGACGGCGCAAGATTTTGGAGAGACGGCAAAAAGACAAAATTTACTAAAATCTACCAAGAACAGAAAATTATGGAGAGCCTTGCATAAAGGGACACAGCACATAGAAGAAGGAGAATATTTACAATTGTATGTCATAATTTCCTACGATTGTTTTGGAATAAACAATTTTTATTGAATGATATTCCTTTTCTTTCTACGGATATTTACCAATTTTTTGAAGAAAAAAAATTCAGCATATTTTATTACGATAGAATATGTGATATTTCAAATTTTATATTTTTAATATTTCATTCTTTAATATTGAAAGCTACTGAATATGCATTTTTTAATTAGCTTAATATTGTAAGCTGCAAAAATATTCATTCAAAAATTCAAATTTTGATAATTTTAAAAGTATAATTCTATTTCATTAAAAAAAAAAAACTAAAATTGATGATGAAAATATTTTGACGCTTTCGATGACAAATGACACTTCAATTTAATTCTGTTGGCGTTCAACAAATTTTCGAAAATTTAATGATTACAATAAAGTAGAGCAACAACTGTTTGAATTGATGAGATAAATATGAAAGTAGGAAATTTAATTTAATAAAGTGATTATTAAGTCAGATGCAGATTTCTTAAATAGGCAAATGTGAATA